GAGAGAGAGAGAGATGGGGTTTTGTGTAGAGAGGGAGATGAGTTTTTGTGTAGAGAGAGATGTGGGCTGGAAATTGGGTTTACGTATTTCAAGTTTTCAACTATGCTAACCTGATTGAACTTCTTCTCCTTTTCTCTCTCCCAAGAGCATCATATTATGATGCATAATTTAGTTGGTTGCCAATTCTTGGCTTGTTGAAATCTGTTTTTCTTTTTCCAGTTTTGCATTAGTAGCATGCATTAGTTTTATCATTAATCTCGAAACTATGAACACTTTTCAAAGCGTAACGCATAATGAATGTTACATCTCCTAACTTCTTTTAAACAGGAATTTCACTGATTTTGGTATTAAGTGTGTGACTGCCAATTTCATTAGAGTTCTCTTTAGCTATTTATGCAAGATTAGATGTTTTCCTTTTCTTTCGTCCTTAATTTGGTTACGTTTTGAAACAGGCATCTTCTGTCTAGTTTTGATCTTCATGCAAAATCAAGTGCTTTTCTTTCCTTCCTCAATTTGATTGTATGCTTTAAAACTGTTTTAGCCCCACTTATTAAGCGATAATACTAGAAAGTATGAAAGAGTTATAAGAGGTAGTTTGGTTTTGGAGTTTTCCTTTACCCGGTTTTGTAAAACTCAGGTTTCCTTCATAAATGGGTGCTTAGCACCTGATTCTTACTAAAGACACAGGTCTCCAATTAATCCATTTAGTCCAGTCTTGGGGTTTAGGGAAAGCCTGCTGAGAGTGTGTTTTCTTAACATCTGGTTTTGTAGGACAACCAGTTTTTTTCCTACTCAGAGCCGAATGACCCCTTAGTGAGTGTGGGTTTAGCCTTCTAAGAAAAGAGAGAGATTGCTAATTGCTATCCCCTCGCCCGTGCCTTCTCCCCCCACCGCCCCCCCCAAAAAAAAAAAATACCCTTCATTTGTATTTCTGTGTGTAGCTGTAGCACAAGGTGCTTTTGTGATTAACTTTACCTCCCTTATATACGAGAACAAAATTTAATAATAATAATGATGAGCCATTATCAACCAGGCCAATTCACGTGCTTCTCGATATTTTCCTCTATTGCAGTTCATGCAGGCATACTCTCTGGGTTCTCGGGCTTGGAATCCATCCCTGGTCCTCAGCTTCCACAGTTTGATTTCTTGACACGATTCAATGGTTGGTTTGCCTTCATACCAAAGCTCCAATAATAGTTAATCACTTTTTCCATAATTGAAGTATCTCAAAAAACTTAAGGGGAGTTTGTTTGAACTTAAGTTTTATAGACAACCATATTCATCCTAATGAGCAAGCACATGAAAAAAAAGAAGAAAATAGTTATTTTGAGGAGATATAAAATACATTAGATAAAGGTCATCCATCTCAAGAAAAAGGGAGTGAGAGAGCTCTATTTTTTGGCTTATGATTGACAGTTTAAGGGAGCTAATTCTTAAAATCTCCATTTCTTACTGGTGGGTGGATGTGTGTGAGTGTGTGTGGGTGTGTGTATGTTTATGTGTGTGTGTGTGTGTGTATGTTTATGTGTTTGTGTGGGTGTGTGTATGTTATGTGTGTGTGTGTGTGTATGTTATGTGTGTGTGTGTGTGTGTGTGTGTGTGTGTGTGTGTGTGTGTGTGTGTGTGTGTGTGTGTGTGTGTTAGTGTTGTGTGTGTGAGAGTAGAGAGAGTAGGTAGAGGTGGAGGGAGGGGTAGGGGGGTAGGGGGTAGGGGG